TCTGCTGATCCAGGTCAGCAAACAGTTCTTTCTGTGGTGTTGAATGGGGCCAGCATAATGCAAAAATAAAGATGTATGCACACAAAACCAAACCTGTGAGGCACAAGGGTTGGACCCAAGTTTTCACCACTGTGCTTATCACAGAAGACTGTTTCTGATGATTTTTGCTAGACCATATGTGCCATGTATTTAGACCATACGTAAATGTAGCTTAATGAAGAATGAATGCTGATGAACAAATAGCATAGAGTGAAACTTGCTTTTCTAAGCCACAGTTTCTAACTGGTGTGGGTTTTGTCTGTCTTCAAAGATATCATCTGCTGCTTGCGGTTATGGATTCACACTGCTGGCTTCTAATACCAGAGACATCACCAAAGTGTGGGGAATGGGGCTCAACAAGGATTCCCAGCTTGGATTCCAAAGAAGCAGAAGAGATCAAAGTAAGGATTTAAGTGTTTTAAAGTTTTACAGCGTGGCACTGCAGTATGCCTGAGGTACAGGGAACTTCATATGTTTGGGGGTGTGAAAAACATCAGGAGGCTTTGATGGGGTCCCAGGCTGTGCTTTATTTTTTTAAACAGGTATTTTTTTAAAATTTATCTGTGTTTTTTTGTGTGTTGTAATTGGTCAAGGTGTGCCTCTGTTCTCTACTCTACACTTGTTAGTTTCATGCAAACAGGAATGTAACCGTTTATTCTTCAAAGAAGTGTGATGTTGGCTAATGTGTGGCTTTGAATCTATAATTCAACAGTAGACACAGTTTAGTTAATAAAATTATTTTGGCAGGATGGTTTGCTCACTTCTGTTGCCTTTSCACTTAAAAACGAAAGTACTTTCTCACAAAGTTTTTTTAATACAGTCAGTGGGKTTTTTGTGAAGCTGTAGGGTTTTTTAAAAAATTATTTTAATAGCAAGTTACGTTTTGAGGGATAAACATGTTTTTCAGTCATTTTGTCTTTGAGACACGAGGCTCTCAAACACATTTAAGATGACAATTTCTGGGCAGAACATTGCTGCCTTCCACCGAAGACAGACAGGAAAAACACAAACTTTCTTCATAAACATTTATGTGGACATTCCTCCATAAACAGTTGAGGAAAATCATGATAAAAGGAGTTTTTCTCACTGTGGTGTGTAAGAGTGTAACCTATCAAGGTAGGGTGTGTCTGATATGAGCAAAAGATTAAGCTTTGTGGAGAAGCAAAAGAAAATTGCAGCTACARTACATCAGGTTGAGGTTTCCAATGGTGCTGCTTTGTGCTGGCACACTGGGTAGTTCCGTAGAAGTGCACACACAGCAAGTGTGTAAACAACATCTTCAAAATGCAGGGACTGCAGAAACCTCTGCTCACTTCTGCATTTAAAGGTTTTCACTCTTGCTGGGTCTTAGTTCTGATATCTCAGGAGTGTCTTGCAATTACCTTGTTGTTCATCTGACCTGGAGACTRTTTTTGTCAGAGAATCCAGAAATAGGTTAAATACTTGGGCAGTTCAAGCCCTGCTAAGTAAGACAGTGTGTATGGCAAGATTGGTTGAGAATTGGTGAAGATCAGTGGGATTGCTATTGCTGCATGTTTAATGTTCCCCAGACAAGTTTTCTTCTGGGATGTGCTGCTCTGTACTGTTTTACACACTTCGGTGCCTGCTGCTTCTAACACTGTGTTGCTGTAGATGCTTCATTTCCAAGGGCATTTGTGGCTTTCTGACTTTTAGATGGTTGYATCTAAAGTACTAATATTTCATGCTCACCCTCCTGTTCCTTAACCATCTCATTATCTCTTTTCTCCAAATCCCCTCAGCTATCAGTGATGATTACTGCAGGTCCCAGTAGCTTGTGTGTCTGCTGGCCGGAACAGAGAAAGGTTTTTTTTTTCTCTGTTGATTTCCAGGTGTTTCTAGACAGGTAGAGACTTGGCTGTCTTTAAGGGTAGCTGGCAGCCACCTGTTGCATGGCAGATGGCCACCATTGGCAGTCTGCCTGTTGTGCTGCCTGTCCTTACATCCAGTAGTGTCTTACTGCAAAAAAAGTGTAGTTTTTAAATTTTTTTTTGTTGTTTTTCTTTTTATGGTTTTTTTTTTCTTTTTATGTTTTTTTAATTGAAGGCCATGAGAGCCATTAAAACACTGCTGCCTTTGTGTGGTACTGCTTTACGTCCTCTGGGATTTGATTTCACTTATTACARTGACTTTGATATCAAGGCTTTTTATCTCCCCTTAACATTTTCCCTAGTATTGATTTATGTTTTGGTGTTCTTTCCCCCCATGCCCCAGTTGACTGTAACTGATTACATGTTCTTCAGGTTGCTGAATATTTTTAAAGTACAGCRTGTCATTTTTCATGAACCTTAGATATCTTTTTCTCTGTGGACCTAGCCTAATCTTTCTTGCATTCCTTGTTTCTGAAAATGCCTKTAATCCACTGTTCTTTATATATGAAGCACTAAGATTTCTTTGTTCACCTTTCCTGATACATTTTTGTGATTGCTACTCTTGTACCTTGTTCGCAATATCCCCAGTTGCACAGAATGCTTGTGCATGATATTAAGCTCTAGTAATGTAGCTGTATTCACCAAAGTGGTTGAAAATGTAGATGAAAGTCTCMGTTTCACAATTCTGCTACCTGAAGCTTTAATAACATTCAGACTCTAGGTATGATGGATATGATTAGGCAGTGATTATTGACTTCACCTATATCCATGGCTTTTACCTTCTCCCTCCCACTGTGATAAATCCGTGTCAACCTCTGTGGTTAGTATCTTGGCTTTCTAAAATGTATCTGCTTTTGTAACAAAGTAGAAGTGAGTGTGTGAATGTACAACAGTATCAGCAAATATGTGTTGAATTTACTTTGTGGAAGCTGCTGATGTTAAATTGTTCTTTCTTCCTTAAGCYAAGGGCTATGAATATGTCTTGGAACCATCTCCAATTCCATTACCACTGGACAAGCCGCAGCAAACTAGAGTCTTGCAAGTGTCCTGTGGGAGAGCTCATTCCCTGATCCTGACAGATAGTGAAGGAGGTACGCTGTTGCTTGTGCTGATGATGTCAAGGGATACTTTTACTAAAAACTTGAAAAAATATCTCCTTCTTTCCTTTAAAACTACAACCCASGTGGGCTTCTGCACTGTAAATGGGATGCAGGCAGCTGTTTGCCTTCATGGGATTGTTCCTGTGAGGGAGAGCCATGAGCTCTTGGCTCAAGTTGTAAATGTGCTGGGAGCTTTTTTACTRCAAGGTTTGTTTCTGTAGCCCCAGGCCTGGCTGAGTTCAGCCTATTTGTCTTGTTCACTCGGATGTGTTTTTGAGTGCAGATTTGGGTGACTTCTGTGTTGCTTCCCCTTGAAGTCGCAGAGTGCTGTGTTTATAAAAGCAATTAATTAATTAATAGCCCTTCATAGAGAAGATCCTGTTTGTGAATTGTCTTTCCACATCTCTGGGAACTCTCTGGTGCAGTGGTTTCAGTGCTGCGTCAAGTGATCCAGCTTCCTAGTGGGTGAGCTGGTTGGTTGGTTGATTCCCACTCCTGTGGGAATGCTGATCTATTTCTGAGTCTCCTTGACAACGGCWGGATGAACTAGGCAATTCCTGGCAGTGGGCTCCAGGTACTGCTGCTGTGCCTGCAACAATACTGCTGGGTGTTGTTGATGAAAATGGGTTCAGTCACTTCAATTCAAATTGGACTTCCTTTGAAATAAGCTTATGCCAATTTTTACATTGCTGTGCTCCACCTTTCAGACATAGAACTGCATGAAAACATTTTGTGGATCTGAAAAGAGACTTTTAGAGGATTGGGCAGTAATAAAACTAGTATGTTTTATCACTGTTTTTCAGTTTTCACAATGGGAAACAATTCTTATGGACAGTGTGGCCGGAAGGTTGTTGAAGATGAAATTTACAGGTGAGAATTCAAAGATCCTGAACTTTCTTATTGTTGAAAACATAATTGCATGAAAACAACCCTCCAGTAAAGCCTGAAGGTGGAAAAGGTCTGKTAGTATAAGCATAACATTTAAGATTAAGGAGTCTGAGAACAGGCTTTTGTGCTGTAGGCATCATATAAGCAGCCTGCCTTTGAACGCAGGCTGGGCACTAGCAGTCTGCTGAACACATTCACAGGAGACAAAAGAAYGTCAGTATGGGACTGTTCTCCCCACAGGGTGTAGTGAGAGAACCCAGTCTTCATAAATTGGTGTTAGTAGTCGAGCTTTCTCCCTTTAGCTGCTCAGAGTGCATGTTGTTTCTGAAGGTGATAGAAGTTCCATTTAATTAAGAAAGAGGCATCCTCTTGTCGAGTCTCTGCTATAACTGCCTCTGGGTCTGTAGTGCTTTTCCTTCGCTGGGTTTTTTGTGGGTTCCATGAAATCATAWGCTCAAAGTGCTCTGTATGATAGAGTAAGTGATAGTGGGAATATGGTGAATTGCTGATTCCCTAGTAGCACAAAAAAAAATTTTGTTCATTGCTCTGTCTGTGATCCTTAACACTTGGTCTGTAAAGTTTGAGAAAATAGCTGTAATTAGGTGGCTTTTGTTAGTCTTGATACTGGGAGTCAGTCACTGGATTGTTCATAATTCCTGGTATTGTGGAAAAATGATGGGAATGTTAGCACTTACACTGTGCTTTGGGATATCTAATTTAGTTAGGTGCAGTGTTTCTTGTGGGTACTGCGGTATTTTGTCATGTCTGCTAGTTCTTGTCTAGGGACTTATTTGAGGATTGCTCCTGCCCCCAATTCCACATGAGCTTATGTTTAAAAAGTGACAGTTCTTCTTAAATAAGAGAATGTAGAAGTATGATCCTTCTTCGTGCAGGTATTTTGCAGTGAAACTACATGAAAATGAATTTGTCTACTTGAGATAATAAAGCGGCTTTCAGTAGAGGCAGGTTTACCTTCGTGTTTTTCAGTTGCAGTCTTCTGAAATCCTCTGTGTTGCCTTTTCTGTTCTTGGTGGTTTTTTGGTGTCCAGTGAAAGCCATCTCATTCATCAGCTGAAGGAATTTGACAGCAGAGTTGTCCAGGTAAGATAATCATCTGAAATCCTGAAGGCAGATTGAAATCCAGCTGAACAGCTGAGCTCAGAGTGGCAGTCATTGGCTTGAAGCTGAGTTGAAACCAGTAATAGGTGCTGTACCCCAGACATCTGGGATCTAATCCTGTTTACATTTTCACTAGTGATCTGGATCACAGAGTGTTCCGTCAGCACATAGCAGATGACATAAAACTCTGAGGTGACTGATAAACCAGAGGGTGGTGCTGCCATCCAGAGGCTGGATAAATGGGCCTACATGAACCTCATCAAGTTCAGCAGTGGGAAGGGCCAAGTCCTGCTGCTGGTGAAGAGAATTTCAGACACCACCATGAGCTAGGGRTGACTGTCTGGGAGSCAGCTCTGCRGAAGAGGCYCTAGGGGACACCAGRTTRACCAYGAGTGTCATTRTTTGMCTCWGGYCAAATGCCAGGCMCCCACAAAAGCMGCTYAGTCACCCTCCCCTGCTACAGCTCTGTASAGGTGAGAAAAATTTAAATGAAGGGTTCATGAGYTGAGATAAGGACTGGAAGAAAACACTCCAAGGGCARAACAGGCTCAACTTAGGGGTACAAAAGTGAGTTTATTACTAACAAAATCAGAAGATGATAATGAGAAGTAAAACAAGYCCTYAGAACACCTTTTTTCCCCCCAASYYCTCCCTCCTTCCCACTRACAGRGCAGGGGACAGAGYGTGGGGGGTTTGATCAGTTCGTCACCYGCGGTTTTCTTACWCTGCTCAGGGAGAGGAGTTCTTCCCCTGCTGCACCACAGGGTCCCATGGGAGAGAGTTCTCCCATGAACTCCTCCAGYGTGGTTCCAATCTCATGAGCAGCAGTCCTCCCAAAATTGCTGCAAYGTGAGTTCCTCCCACAGCAGACAGTSTTCCCCARACTGCTGCWKYGTGGGTCACTTGTCTGCAGGGTGCAGTCCTCCAAGGACAGGCTGTGTGGAAGCAGGGCCCCCTCTCTCCATGGGTCTCCCACAGCATCACAGCCTCCTCCAGGCATCCACTCGCTCTGGTGTGGRCACCTCCCCCATGAGCTGCAGGTGAATCTCTGCATCCCCAGTGGATCCCCGTGGGCTGCAGGGGGACAGCTGCTCCACCATGGTATTCAGCATGGGCTGCAGAGCAATCTCAGCTCCTGTGCCTGGATCACCTCCTCGTCCTCCTTCTCCACTGATCTTGGTGTCTCCCTGTTGTTCCCTCACATGACCACACCTCCTCCTCCTCTCTAGTTGGGATTAAAGCTGTCCCACCACCTTGGTTTTGGTTTCTTCTTACATATGTTATCAAAGAGGTGTTATCACCATTTCTAACTGGCCCAGCCTTGGCCAGAGGCATGTCCATCTTTGGAGCCACCAGCGCAACTGGCTCTGCTGGACATGGTGGAAGCTTCCAGCAGCTTCTCACAGAAGCCACCTCTGTGGCCTCTCCCTGGTGCCAAAAACCAGGCTGTGCAAAACCAACACAATGAGCCWGCAGTGTGCTCTTGCTGTAGAGAAGACTAATGATACCCTGTGCTGCATTAGGAGGTGTGTAACCTGCAYGTCAAGGAGGTGCTTCTTCCTTTCTACTCAGCCACACTCAGACTACTTGTGTCCATTTCTGGGTTCTCCACTACTCTCTTCTCCGTCATGATTTGTTGTTCCCTTTTGTCACTTCTATATTGCTTAGGAGTTTGAATTTTGTCTTTCTCTTTTCAAAAATGAGCTGTGAAAYCATCCACTTAGACTAGCCAGCATTTCTCTAGGTTGGGTTCCTAGAGGAGCAAGGGACTGCAGGGCAGCAGAAACACCTGCCATGGCTGCAGTATTCCCAGGCACAGCAGCAGTTTGTTGGTATGTCTGTGCCCCTGTAGCCATACTCTATGGGCAAACATTACTCCTGTTAGACTGATTTATCCTGACCTAATGAGACTCTGCCATGGTTCATCCTAAAACTGTTTTGAGTTAGACCTGTAAACTTCTGTTTGGACTTTTCATTATGGGTTTGTTTTTTTTTTTTGGGAGGTTGAGTACTTGTTACCTGTTTGTACTTCGATAACAGCAGCTATGTGCTTAATATTGGTAGTCATTCTCTTGTTGATTGAATCCCTTTAATTTTTGGTTAATTTTTGATGTTTGGTTTAGAATGGCTTTTTGCTTTGCTTTAATTCATGCCAAATCTGTAGCAGACACAATGGTTAGTTCAACATAAATGCAGATGTGAGAATAGCTGTGTACCTAGAGTGCTTACATTGCAAAGAATCAATAGCAGTTTGTAGCCGGCATCAAGAATCATGCAGTTAGCATCCTGTGAAGGGAGAGCTCTTATTTACWGTTTCCTGTTTTATTGTGTTGTACTGCTGAATTTAGCTTTCTTTCCTTGTTTTGGATCACAGAACAAATGGACTGTGGCATCACTTTCCATAAAGAGAATTCTGCTGTTTTCTGTGTTGTACCTTGTGGTGCTCGGCCTTCCCTTTCTATAGAACCATTTGATCAGGAGACAAAGGTCAAAATCTGAATTGATGGGCATCATAGAGGTCCATTGCTCAATTTGTCTGCCGGTAATGCTTTGCTAAATCAAATYTGAACATGTGACTTTTCCTGACTAACTCTGACTTTTTGTTTGCGTGCAGGTTGTGTGTGGGCAGGACCACAGTCTGTTCAGAACCGAGAAAGGTACCGTCTATGCATGTGGATGGGGAGCTGATGGWCAAACAGGTAGGAGCTCAGCTCAGCTTGTTTTTCAGGGAATTGATAAATGTAGGAAGCTGTCCTAATTTAGAGGTTGTGATGTGTATTTGTCRTACATGTGTGGACAGAAAGGGACTGCTATGTTTTGAGTTGTGAATAGATGTTTTCAGTACTCTTGTAACCAAACTGAGACAATCCAGTTAATTTTTGGAGGATCTTTAGGATTCCACCCAAGCAATCCAAGCATGCAATTGGAGGAGAGTGTATCTGCTGTTCAAGGCTTTCTGAGGGGATGTGGAAGTGACATGGGTAGCTTTGCTCTTCAGCTTGGTGGTGGCTTTGCCTTCCTGATTCTTGTTTCAGGGTCTGTCCTGCTCTTTTGAACTGACAAGCCCTTTGGTGGCTGCTGCTGTTTCAGCATGGGATCYTTGGCCAGACCCTTTTTTGTGGTGGCTTTTGCTGCAGAGAACTTCCTTCTCACAGTCATTCGTACTTTTTATTCCTTTTGCTGCTCCCAAAGTTCTTGCCATGGTTCTTTTGTGCCAATATAGTGTAACCCAGTTTTCTGTCATCTGYATTCTGGTCTCTTTTCCAGGCAGCAATTTGTCATGTAAAACATTTGCTTTCCAGCCTCTTCTGCTGTTTTCCCTGCTGTTGTCTAACTGATTGCAATGTGCTGTCACTAGTGGCTCTCCTTGCAGAAGACAGGRTGCAGCCAGTTTGTGTAACTTCATCTCAGTTGGGATATCTGCCTGGCTTGGTTATTGTTCTTCAAACACTTTGGGCTATACAGATAAAAGATAGGATACTTCTCAGGGCAGATTGTATAAAGTTGTTGTGTACACCAGAGAGGTGGCTTTGGCTAGTGGAAGTGGTGGTTTTGGCTGCTTGTCTGCTGCAGCTGGTAATTAATTAGAAAGATTCYTTTCAGAGGAAGGGTGATTTTGTTATAACATGACAAAAATGGTCCTAGGCAGGATTAAAAAAAAAATCTGCAAAAAAATTCTTCATAATCTCTTCTTTTTTTTCTTTTCAGGTCTTGGACACTACAACATCACCAGTGTTCCTACTAAGCTRCATGGTGACATTGCTGGAGTAAACATTATCCAGGTCTCTTCCTATGGGGACTGTTGTCTGGCTGTTTCAGATGAAGGAGATGTSTTTGGTTGGGGAAATTCAGAATACTTGCAGTTGGCATCTGTCACAGAAACCACACAGGTCAGTTGATCTGGAAGTGTGTTTTTATGTATTTCTGTTCAGCTGTTGTGTACAAAGTTAAAAATTATATGCATCTCCCTGKTCTGGGTTCTTTTGTCTGCAGATACAAGCACCACTAGCAGGCTGCTTTTTCCTAAGCTTACAAAACCAGTCTGACACGTTTGTGTAGCTTTAGGGGGCAGTATGTTTCCAGASTTTGATAGACTAAGGTTTGTGTCACCTTGCCCCAGTTTGTTAGTCTAAGAATCCTGTGTTCTTCTTTCTCCATCCCCTGGACTTYGTGCCAAACTGAGATCCAGCTCAAGTGCTTTTGCTAATTTCAGGACAGGAATTAGTCTTTTGACTGGCTARTCTAGGATTTCAAGTGGTCCTACTTTGAGCATAGTGCTGGTCCAGATGGCTCTTGGAAGTCTCTTCCAGTCAACCTGTATGCTGGTGAATTTTTCATGGACATCTTAGTGGATAAGACTCAGTATAACTGAGTCATAAATAAATTCCAGTGTTTCACAGATAAAAGTTTTTTTKGAGCAAACTTGTAGGTGTAGAGTGCCGACTTTCACACAAGGCATTGTACTGCTGAGATAATTAGGCAGTTGGTCTCATTTTACAGCTACTTTAGGAAATGGAGTCAGGAAATWAATCAATACTCAAGCTACTCTTGGCAGAAAGCTAATAGCAAATAATTATATTAGAATAGCTTTAGCAAAATTTTAGAAACCTTTGTTTCCTGTGCCTCTCCTGATGTAGCTTTAATGTAAGGCTCAATACYGAGACCCGTAAGACCTGAGGACAATGATCAGGTTATACAGTGTAGCTGTTTTCCTAGCTGGGTGCCTGATGGAGGTCAGTGGCATCTGAAATGAATGAATAGCATGTTTGCCAAAAATKAGAGTCTTAGCTAAAATATAGATACAGTGCAAAKTGTAGAATGGCAGAGCTATGAAATMGAAGATTGMTTTTTACATATGTCAAGCTGTGTATGTGTGTTGTGTTGGACTGCACCAAATAAGTGCAATTTTCTTTAAGTGATTTTTCCCTGCTAGGTTCAAAAATGCCACTGTGGACTGAATTTTAGTGTTCTAATCCAGTGTRAAAACTTGAAAACATGCTCGCCTATTGACTACCCCATTGTTCTGACTTTCCTTGTTGCCATGCATGTAAACTTTCCAGTAGGTAACTTTCCACCTTGTCCTTGCCTTAATGAATTGCATGTAGTTTTCTTTTTTAAGTTTTGGGACTTGCATTTATTAAATTATTTAGACAATAAGTGTTGTATCAGGAATCCAGTGTATGTAAACTAACCAGAACTAGAGAGAACAAATTAAAATGAATGTCTAGTTTGCAGTTTACTTTGTCTCTAACAACTCTTCTGCAATCTTGTACAGGTGAATGTTCCCAGGCATTTGCCATTCAAGATTGGAAAAGTAAAGGAGGCTGCCTGTGGAGGGACTGGCAATGTTGTTCTAACAGGTGAGTTACTTCTAGAATCACCCACTTTTAGTGCCAGGTTGCACAGTAGGTGGATTGTAACATCATGAAACAAGTATCTTGTTTTCTAGAAACAGGGAAATACTGTGTGTTATGAGGAAAGCTAGGAGACTGAGAAACGTGTGATTTAAGAATGTACTACAGGAGTTGTTTTCACTAGTGCAGAGCATTGCTTCCAGTGTGTGCTGTTGTGAACAGTTCTGCAGACTAGAGCAAGAGCATGGCTGCTGTTTGCTCTTCTGATCTCTTTTGCTGTCATACAGGCCTCTAATTAGTATGGATATAGGTGGGAAGTAAAGCAATACTTGAGAGAAAGTCGAACCCTTCAGACCCCATATGAATCTGACATGTTTATAAATCATTATGAACATGTTTATAAATCATTATAAATCATGATAAAAAGTAGAAAGTTCTGAGTTCAGTGAAACTCTGCAGCACATCCTTAGTGACTGTTCTTTGGGTTGTCAGTGGCTGGGGAGCATAGCTGGAGGGTTGCTGAATGAAGGAAGGAATTGTATTACTTCCTTGAAGGATTATCTCAAGGAAGATGTTCATATTTATAATGGGGTTATTGTGATGACCAGAATTGGAGCGTCTAGTGTGAAGGAAACTAGCTAGCTGACATAGAAACTTACTCTTTCTTATGCTGTCTGGCTACTGCCTTTCTAAGGCACTCAGCTTAAGGCAGAATGCCAGGCAGAGTGACATCCAGCTGCTGATTTGGGCATGCACAAGAGAGAAAACCATGATAATAAACTCTCAACCTCTGTCCTATCACCCAGTACAGTGAAGTATTTTATCCAACTCATTCTTGTGCTGGCACTATTTCCCCATGAAAGTTTTGCATGGGAAGTCTGATTTGCTTGCACAGCTTAGGAAAAAATTGAGGCTTTTGGATGAGAATGCATTAATGCAGATTTTAAATAATCAAAAAGTGATAGACTGAGCTGGGAGAAAGGAAAGATCCCTTTGGTTCTGATTAACTCTTGGTTGTGGCATGAATTTCAAAAGCACAGACTTTCTTACAGAATGTGTTCTTATTGTAATACAGAAGAAGGAAATGTTTTTGTCTGGGGATACGGAATTCTTGGGAAAGGACCAAACCTAATAGAGACAGCAGTGCCAGAGATGATCCCACCCAGACTTTTTGGCTGGTCAGACTTCAGTCCGGATATCCGTGTTGCTCATGTTCGCTGTGGACTCAGCCAATTTGCAGCACTTACGAGTAAGTTTCTCATACTTCTCTACTGTCATGGAGAGGTCATGTTGCTATGTTATTGGCAGAAAGGAAAACAAAAAAAACCCAAGCAACAATCCCCCCCCCCCCAAAAAAAAAAAAAAAAAAAAAAAAAAAAGCTTACCGTCTTTCTTGAAACTGAAGGCACACTGGAATGCAGCAGCAGGGAGCCAGACAGCACATTTACAGGTGTCAGCATGGTTTCTGGCATATGTTTTATGCTAACTTATGGTTTAATTAGGGAAGTGTTACTTGTCTAACACAAAGAAAAAACTTTTCTCAAACAGGAAATCCAGAAGTTTTTTTTCATTTCCTTGTATAGAATGAGTCAGTCTGCTGCACTTTAGCAGCAGCAGGAATTTATGTGATAAATGAACTAACTAAAACTGAGTCTAAATGAAACATAGTTTCTTGGCATTTCTGGCCAATTGAGTTAGCAGCCTGAGGTGGGCAGACCCAAGCATTTAATATTCAAAGGGTATGATACCGTGCTCTGTGCACCCTGTGAAGGTTCCCAGTGTTTGAAGGGTTTTAAATTTGAAAGTCTTAAATTGGGCAGCAGTTCAGAGATCCAGCTGCTAGCAAAGAAAAGGGCCAGGGCTGGGTCCTTTTGGGGAAGTGGTATGTGTGACACTGTCCCAGTTTGGTTGCAGGGTGCTTGTAACTGGGCTCTCCTTGGTATTCAGAAAGAGGTAGAAATGATGTTCTGATGAAATTGYACCTATTTTATAGATTGTGTTTTGGTTGTCTCTGCAGTGGAGCTGATCCAAACACTTCTGAGATCTGWGGGTTTTCCTAAGGAGCTCAAAACTCCTCAACTCCGTTGAACACAAATTTTTGCTTTTTCTAGCTGTCAGTAGAAGTTCACTTCTCTTAGACAGTSAAACAAGTAGTCTGCAAGTGATGGCTTAGGACAGATCTTACTGTCTTGCTTACTGGATTTGCTCTGCAGACAGCTGGTACAGATCAGCTGTAGTTGTCTAACTTGCATCACAAATGATTCACTTCACAAGTGATTCCCTGGAATTTCTGCTGCTGCACTTTCTTCAAATAAAATTCCAAAGCAAATKATGTAAGAGGGGGATACAAAGACTTGCATACAGAATTTGTTTCTTGTACTGCTCATTAGGCATAATTTTCTCCAAACATAAGTACATTTATTGTACCTTAAAGTAAATCTGGTGGCTGTCATACTGCTTGTAATACCCTGTATACTCCCAGAAACATTGTATTCACATTTGCCAGCATCACAAATAGAATTCTTCCTTTTTAATGACTCAGTTCTTTTCTATTTTTTTTTCTCCTGTGCAGACAGAGGAGAACTGTTTGTATGGGGGAAGAATCTAAGAGGGTGCCTGGGAACTGGAAGAATGGAAGACCAGTATTTCCCATGGAGAGTAAGGATGGTGGTATTAAGGCTAAGAGTATATTCTTTGGCTAGTTTTTGTTATCCAGAGGGAAGAACCATCATTTGCTATGCAGTTTTGTTCAGTAGTTCTGAACTTGGAAGTGGAAGCTTAAATGACTGTAGAAGTGCTTTGGTTTCCAGAAGTTCTTGTGTAGGCTGCTTGGGGATGGAGGTATTTAATAAACCTTTTAGTCTGCTATGTCAGTAATGATTTTGGATCCTAAAACAACATCTAGTGCTGTGCCAACATATCTGAAYAGTTCTCATCTCTTTCCTGTCAACCATCATCTACCTGCTACCCTTACTGCCTCATTTTTCCCCTTCTAACCTGTGCTTCTCTTTGTATGTTCTGCAAAGAAAACCATTAGTATTGGTCATCTTTCCAAAGCATAACTCACCTAAATTAGGTGAACATTTTGGTTGTTGATGGGTACAGGTTCACAGAGTGGTGGGTTTCCTGCCCACCTATGGTGGTGCGTCGCTGGTCTGTTTGTTAGGTTATAGGAGGAGATCCTTACTCAACTGTGTCCACAGCTGTTTCACAGTGCTTCCAGTTGCACTGCTTCCTCCCAGACTCAGTGGACGTAGGAGAGTCTTTGACTCTGGAGTTCAGCTTTCTGCTTAACAGATGCTCCTGGTCTCAATGAAGGCCAAGTAGGAGATGAGGGAGGCAATCAATTGGACCACCCTGGAGTCCCTGTCTTGTGTGTCTGAATTTGCAGTGGACRTGTTTCTGTACTGTTTGTTTAAAAATGAACAAAACCAGACGAGCTCTGGAACATTTGCCTAAAATCACTCTGCTGTRGGTGAGTGGAATTTCCRAATTCACTTCCCCAAGTGTGGACAYTGGGGKTAATGCTCTTTCAGACASCCWGTTCCTKTCTGACAGTACTGTGGCAGTGTGCCTTGACCTCCTGCCCCAGAAGTAGTTGCTCTCCTCTCTCTTAGTTATAATGAAATCTTGCTTTTTTAGACTCTGCTTTGCTCAAGTTTGAAGTCAGTTTTAAGTGAATAAGCTGTAACTTCAGGAGTGAGGAGCTGGTCTCTTAAGCATCAAAGCACAAACTGCCTTAGGCTGAGTTGAAYCTTTGCCTTGTTCCAATTCTTGCTGATGAGAGGAGAGGCAAATCCCTGTGGTGCTTGGGCAGATCCCTCTTCCTGCTGTCCGGATTATGCTCTGTTCAGTCATGCAGCTTCTGTTGCTGAACAGATGGGCTGAGGCTACGATCTCCTCACTGTCTGCTAGTGAGCCTGCTCTTCTTTCTCCTTCCAAAGCTTTATGTGCTTCTGTGAAGGAAAAAGGAATATTTCACAGCTCAATGCACAAGCCTGCCTGGTGCTGAATCTTGCTCTTTCTGTGTTTTCAAGTTGGCACTTGCATTGGGACAAATTCATGTGAAACTAGCTGGCATGTTAAGCAGAAGGAGGATGAGAAGTAGGAAATACCAGGKGCAGAGTACCAGCTTGATAAATAACTCATTCTCATATGTTTTTTCCAGGTAACTGTACCCGGTGAAGTGGTGGATGTAGCATGTGGAGTTGATCATATGGTAAGCATGGTCAAGTCTTTTACTTAGGAAGCAAGTAAAAGTAAAGGGCTGCTGGCCCTGAKCATTGTACCAGGGCGATGCAGGGACTTGCTGACAAGCTTCTTGGAAAGGAAGACTCATTCTATGAAACCAAATGACTGTGAGCAGAGACAGCCATAGCAGTGTCTGGATGTGTTGTCCTCTCTGCATCATTGAAATGCTCTGGCCTGGCTGCAGGAAGGAAGAACATTCCCCGAGGAGTGTGGAAATGCAAGGACTGCTCCAGCTTGTTTGTGATGAGCTCCCAGAGAATCAGAGGCCCAGCCCCAAGCCGGTGAGCTGCTCTATGCCTGAAAATGAAGAGCATTTCCCTCAAGGAAGACTGGCATGGGATGAAATCTGCAGCACGGGACACTGATATATGGACATTTCCTGTCATCAGCTCTGGAGTGTCAGTGTTGGGCAGAGCCAAACTTTTGCTCAAGGGAAAAGGTGGGGGTTATTTTGTGCWACTTTTTTATGTGGAATAGAGGTCATGCTGGCTGTTGAAGCCCAGCACAGCTGTCTTGGGTGGCTGCTCCCAGCTGCACTGTGCCCAGGCTGTTTTCCTGTRTAGAAACAGGATGCACAGGGGCATGCACAGCCCTGGCCTGGAGGCAGTGATGTGTCTGTGGGCTGTTRAAGGCTTTCTGTGTTAATGCTAAAGACAGTATGGCCAGAGGAACACATTCGAAGAGTGAGAACATATTTGCAGGGCTAAGTACTATTAGATAAGACAGCAGGCTCTCTGTGCTGCAGAAGGACAGATGAATGGTGACAGAAGCCCATCTATCAGGGAGGCTGGAAACAAAGCCCYTGATCAGCTACCAGCAAAATCAGTGCTTAGGCATGGATATAGGCAGTACTCACTGCCCCTCAGGTATCTTTGTTTCCTTGTGTTGATCACACATCAGTGCCTTTGATTTTTTTGGGGATTCCCTACACTCGTTCTATTTTCAGAGGTAAGGTGGCTCTCAGTTGCAATTAGCTCGGCTTTTCAGGATTGCCTAGCAGGGAAGGGAATCTKAATGGGTAAGAAGAAGAGCTTCATTCTTTGGTACCTTCTTAACAGTCAGCTGATAGAGATGGGCTGCAACAGCTCTGTGTATCTGTAGCAGGTACTTACCCAATCTCACACCCAGGTGTGGGAAACTGTCTCCTGTGAAGCACACCAAATATCAAGTAGAATTGTGTTTTTTCTCTCCATGTGATACTTCTACTATGCAAACTACTGTCGTGAAATCCGAGCTAGTAGATTTCCACTAAAGTGATTATAAAATCTTTATCATTAGTAACAGAAATATTCTTGAGCATGATCTTTTGTGCATTGATTGGTTCTGCATTTAAGCTGCACCATTTTGGTTCACAATTATGTGACAGGAAACCACTTCTGTCAGCTGAGCCACCTCCATACCTGCAGGACTGATAGTGTTGTAGTCAGGCATTGCAGCCATGGCCTAGGGTACACCACGTACATTTTGGCTTCATTAGATGCAATTCTATGGCAAAACGTGGTGTGTAAACTTTACCTTGATTAAGTAAGTTTTGAAGGGCTTTGCATAAAATATAGGAAAATTGAACCAAAGTACATAGATATAGAGACACATGTCTGAGTTGTTATTGACATTCCTGTGTAACAGGTGTTGCTGAGTGAGTTGAGGCAGAACAGAAAGCAGTCTGTGAAACTGGCAGTCCTTCACTGCTCTGAACTCSCATTTGGTTGGCTTTAATTTATACCTGATTCTACATGTGACTTGGGCAACTTGTGATGTGCAAGCAATGTCTTGTTGGCCTCATGGGAGCTGCCATGCCCTTTCAACTTGAGGAGGCTTATTAAACCATTGAAAACAACACAAAAACTCTGATAAAAAGGTGTCACAAACAATGCCCTTCATGGATGTTGCTGTTGAGGTGGACTGGGCTCTCAGCTGCTCATTACCATTCCCTGTTTCCCATTCCCAGCATTGGGAAACAGCTGTGTTTTCTGAAGAACTGGGTTGAGTTCTTTGTGTTGCATTCTTGCTGTACAATAAATTGCAAAGTCTATGAGTTAATAAGATGCCAGTGAGGTCTTTAGTCCTAAATAGAAGAGTTATATGGCTTAATGCAGTGGGGGTGTTTGTGCCTTCATTACTGTGGCTGCCATAGCATTCTCAGACATAACTTGTTGGGAACAAGGTTAGTGGCAGTGAAGGCAGTCTGGCAAGCACCAGCACTTACACATGTTTTGGTTACAGTGTGGGGGAAGCATTTTGACCTTGGGCAGGTGCCCCCCAACCTGCTCTGTCATCCCTCTGCCATCAGCAGGGCAGGGAGAGAGAATCTGAAAGAAAGCATATGGGTTGGAACAGGRACAGGGTAACATCTGTTACCATCACAGGCACAGGAGACTCATGTTAGGGAAATCATTGTCAAACACAGGAGAGTAATGAGGAATTAGTACATCTAAATAGAAGTCTGACAGTGCTTTTCCCACACCTCTCCCTTCTTTCCAGGCTCAAACCTACTCCTGACTTTTCTGCCTCCTTTGTTTCCTCTGCTGACCTTTGTATCTACATGGTTATCTCTCACAGATTCTTACTCCTTTCTTTTGGATGCTGCTGTGCAGCAATTCTTCCCCTTTCTAAAATACAGTTCTTCCAGAGCTGCTGCTGCTGCTGTTGCTGATGGGCTCAGTCTTGGCTCAGAAAATGAAAATCTCCTCCTCCCCACCATACCCCTTGCCTGTTGAAAGCAGATCCAACCTGTGTGGCTTRTGCTCCAGCAGGAAGAGGGCCATACAGGAGCCCAGCCATGCTCGGGTAACTTTGTGAACTGCAAAGCAACTTAGCATCATTTTGTCCTTCAAAGTATGGCAGAGTAGACAGCCCAAAATATATCAGCATCCCTAAATATACCTGCAGCGAGAGAGTGTATGGGCCAAAGATGTACAGGGGGAGGAGCTCAGATTAGAACTAGAATAACCTACTTGATTTGGCATTGATTACACAAGTGATTTGCCTTCAGAACAGCACTGCGCCAGCATGATTGGCTTAAAATAGCCCAAAAGGGCTTCAGGACAGTTCCCTGGTGCAGAGCCCTGTGCATTTACAGTTCCAAGGACTGCAGTGGTTGAGCAAGCTTGCCACAGTGTCTGAGCAGGCTTGTCACAGTGGCTGAGAGCTGGAGGAGTTGCACAAGGGATGGGTGAGAGGTTCAAGCCCAAGTGCACCTGCACAAGTTCAGGCCTGTCCACACCATCCCAAAAGGTCCTGCCAATTCTCTGCTGGAAGCTGCATCCAGCATGGCCTGTGGGCTGCCTTGCTGCCCCTGCACAGCGAGGCCTCATCTGTCAGCAGATTATCTGACCCTCTGGGGATAAAACGTGAACGCCTGTGAAACACTATCTTAGGCACTTGCTGCATCACAACAGTCTTTTCTCYACAGGATTCTTCAAAAACAGATGAGTCAGAGAACTAGTAATTAGCCTGCAGCATTCAAAATACTCCTGAAACAATATTCCTTCATGATGCTTCATCATGACTCAAAAAATCAGTAGCATTTTTTTGCAAGGGGCTGGAGTCTTCCCCTCCTCCCTCGAGTGTCCCAGCATCTCCTGCTCAAAGGTGTGATCCTGGGCAGATAAGGTAAGAAAAATACTGATATGAAAAGGCATTAGTGTCTTTGAGGCCTAGGCACCAGTTTAACAGCCTAAATCCTGGTATTTACCTTAAGATGGCATTTGCTTTTGTGGGGAGTTGCAGGCAGTGCTGAGATTGTTTGGGAGTGCCTGTGTTGATTTATTTGTTTTTTTTTTTTTTTTTTACTGGATTAAACCCTTGAGGCAGCACTCTGCATTAAGGCTGCATTCCAGATTAGGAATCCCATAGTAATTTCTTAACATAAATGTTTTAACACTTGACCACTAGACTAAACAGAATACGCTGCACTAAAAAGGAAATGCTTTTGAATACATTTTATATAGATGAGCTGGTTTTCTTTAAACATCCACTACAAATAGTTAAAACTGATACAGTGATGATACACCTGATTTCACTGCTTTYCTTGCACACTTCTGACAGGTTGTTCAGCTTTTTCTTGCAGACCATGTGGCAGTGGTACTGTGCAACCACACTGCTGACTGAGACTCAGAACCCAYAGTGACTGCCCTAAAATAGTCCATGAGGAGGCTGTTTGCTCCCCAACCACTGCTAGGGTGCAGGGCTCTGAGGGTGCCCTGCCAGGATTTCTGCTAGGGCTGTCCAGACTCCTGGACATGTTGCATGTTGCAGTGAGCAGATGTAAGTCTGGCAAATACATTAGCAGCATCCCACTGACTTCTTATTTTAAGGGAAGAGGATAGGGCAGGTTTGGTGGTTTCCAGAAACCAGCTAGAGGATGGAGATGGTGGTGAGTACCATCTGTAGGGGTACAGTACACATGGTGACAGGACCTGGACACCAGAGAGCTTCAGGGATGTCTGCCTGGCCTTCATAAGTTGTGTGTGTGGGAGTGATGCCCAGTATGGYAGTAAGTGAAAGAAATGAATTGCATCTTACAGACAATGCCAAGCTCTGCTTTATTTTCATCAGTTTGATCAGTACAAAAGCAGACAGCATAAGTTTCACTTTTTCTTCTTTTTCAGTTTACAAAGTACAAAATATACTGTCATTTTTTTCTCAGGTTTTTTTTTCATACAGTACATAAATCTCAGCTTTTCAGCATAAGACCAGCAAAGAAAAGCAGAGTGTGCACTTGCTGGGAAAGCAAAGCAGCCACTTCTCAGCTCCACACCATATCCAGCGTATGATCCCAAGCTGCTGCCACCACTCCCTGTGCCTGGTGGTGTAACATTCCACCTTGTGCAGAGGCCATGAAGGCAACTGATGCATACAGACCCCACTGTGCCTTGTACCCCCGAGCTTGCAGGAGCTGCTGCCCACCCACTSGTGCAGTGCCTGGCCCCACTGAGCCATTGGGCAGGTGCAAACAGCYTTTCCATGGCAGCAGCCCACAGCAGAAGGTGTACCAAAGGCCCCTCTACTGGGAGTATTCCTCCACCTCCTCTGTTTGCATCAGATTGGTAATTAAAGGGAAATAAATACACATTATTTTCCCACCCTCCCCAATGAAAGGCTGCATGGGGTTTCTGAGAGCTGAGCAGGGAGGAGAGGCTGCAAAAATTTGGGGTTCTCAGCACCACTTCAGCCTGTTCGGTGAGTGTCTGAGGCCAAAAGTGGTATTTCACTTACAGAGCAAATGATACATAAATAACTTATTAAATAAAGTCCTAAAGATTTGTGTGTGATCCCCAGGCTGCGCAGCACAGCTGTTCTAAATGGCCAGGGAACAGAGATACCCTGACCCAATCTGGGCAGCTTCTGCACCAGAAGCATCTCTGCTGTGTTGGCAGTTCCAGAAATTTGGCTTAATGCTGTGGCCATTCTAGGTAGCTGGAGGGAATGTGGGCTCGTTCTTCAGTCCAGACAAAGGGAAGAATGAGATAAATTCTGTCTTGTTCAAGCCACTTGAGGCCCTAATAAAGTGGCATTGCACTGTAACTCCAGAAGGGCCGACCCCTCGTAACAAGCACTGAACTTTTATGGTGCAGTGGGACTGGAACCCTGCACTGTGACTCTGKGGGGTGATGGCTCACTGATGCTTAGCCAAGAGAAACCAAACTAAAAATCTGCTGTAAGGACTGATAAGGATGATGAGGCTCCTCCTCCCTCTGTGCAATGCTCCCTCCAAACTAACCCTTCTGGCTRCCCCATGATGTCCAAAGAGCAGGAGAAAACTGGCATGAGCCAGTGCTGTGCTGTGCAGCCGCAGTCAGACTCGCTGCAAGGTGGGGCTGCASATGTTCCCTGGGCACTCTGGCATCAAGACCCAAATCCCAGCAGCATCAGGACCTGTTGGTATGGCTCGGTTGTCGAAGGAGGTGAGTATTTTAGGCAAATCGAGATGATCCTCCCTGCCTCTAATTCTAGTAAAAACAAGGGGAGAATGGGCTCTGTGGGGAGTTAACAGTAAGAGAATGAGACAGGCTCTTCCAAAGGCTGAAACAGAGCTTCTGAAGCTGCATCCTACCATAAGTTCCTGTCTGGCAGCCTCCACTTCTGCCTGTCCCAAAAACTATTGTTGTCCTAGTGCTTGGGTTGGCAGGACAAGTGTCCCCTGTCTGTCACTGCCACCCCCAGCTGCTGCAGAGGCAGTGTGGAGGAGAATGCACTGGCAGAAAACATGGTTGCCATTGTGCTCAAATGAACAYCCCACTCCTCAGCTTCATGTCTCAYAAGCCCCTAAGCCAAACCTGGAGCCCACACACAGGGGAGGGATAACAGAATGCCCAGCCACAGGCAGCAGGGACATGGGACAAAAACCCTGTGACAYTGACCACAGCCCTGGACTGGAAAGAGGCAGGGCAGAATCACTACCCTCTGCATTTCCAGGCATTAACCTGGGCACTAACAACAATTGGATGCAGTTCTCACACCCCTATTATGAACAGCCAATGGATTGGCAGGATTATTTTTAGCAGCAGTAGCAGGAGGGTTTTGGGTRAGGGCAATCCTGGATCTAGCACAACCAGAAGCACCTAGAAAAGACTGCCCTGGGACACTGATGTTCTGCCACGATATCACTGGAGCAATTCACAATTGGAGAAAAAGTAAAAACCTGGAGGAAGGAAGCACTGAGACATGGGACTGGCAGGGGACCCCAGCAGGCAGGATCTGGAGGAGAGTGAGAGCACGAATAATTTTTAATTCTATGGTATAGCTGAAAAACCAGCTCATTGAGCTGGACCAAACAGCTTTTGCTCCTAATGGCTGAAGGAGAAATGGGGTGCTTCTCCTGCAGAGCCAACCCTTCGTACTCTCAATCCCCAGCGTTAGCACTGACCCACTAACACATGATACCAGGAAAAACAGATTTGCTTCCAGTAAGGAAATGTTAAAACTCAGGCGTTTCAAGAGCAGGCCTGGTTCAACAGCCTGTCTGCACATGCTGCTGCAGGGAAACATCCCATGCTCCAGGACTGTGCCATGGTGGGGAGGGTCCTGTGTTCTGTGCAGGTTGGTCCTGCCTTGGAGGCAACACCATCAGGTCTGCAGCTCCCATGGTTGTGTTGCACCACCACCAGCTCTTCAGGTAATTTCAGTGATCTCAAAGATTTAGCCACATCATGAGGCTGGCATTAAAAATAATTCCAAGAAACAGCTACAACAAAGGCTACAGATTCTTTTTTTCTACATACCCCTCGCTCCTTCCTTCAGTGTCCCACATAGAAAACACTCCTTTGCTTTTGTCACCGATTACAAATCCACAGAGGAGACAGCTGCTTTTCAGCAGAAGGGAAGTTCCTTTTGCATTCCCTTCCAGCTGATGGGAATGACTCTGTGCTGGCAGCAAGGACACAGAGGACCAGGGAGCTGCTTACCAGGGCTCTCTCTTGAGACCTGGCCCAGAGCAACATCCTGCTASCCTGAGCCTAGGGCTGCTTCAGCGTTTCAGCAGGCAAATGGGCTGAACTCTTTCGGGGTCCAAAGGAGCAGTAATGGTCACAGCAGCCAGCCTGGCAAGTGGGTGCTTCAAGCACCATTCCCACAAAGACCAGGCAATCAGGTACCTGTAAAGTGTTTTTCAAGTCACAAAACAGCGAGTAGGAATCCTTTGGGGGGGGGGGGGGCAGAAAAAGCTTATTATTGTAATCAGCAGAAATCTGATTTAAATCCTCAGGACGCTGAAATAGAAGCAGAAGGCCAGACAGTGCAGGGGTACTCTAAGCAGCAGCCTCCTATGTCATCTTCCCAAAAGTGCATCAGATACTGCCTCTGCCATAGCCACAAAAGGAGGGAAGAAGCAACCAGCCCCCCAAAATGAAGAATGAAAGGAGCCCTATTTTTGGCACGATCTTTTAGGGTTGGTAGTACCCCAGTAGAACCACTGGGTCTGCCTAGAGAGGGACATGGCAGCTAATCAGCTCTCCTATGGTACAGGCAGAGGACAGAGCTGGACAGAGGGGGAGCAACATGCTCCCACTCTGCTCTCAAACACATTTCAAAATTTCAATCCTGCCAGATGCCTGATGGACATCTCTGTCCATGTGTGTACCAAAATCCACCCACACTTCATTTACAGAATTTTGCAGAAAGCTAAAAATGGATTGAAACAAAGCCCCAAGGGAGCCCAGGGCATTAAACAGCTGTTTTGCAACTCTCCTGCTTCACACAGCTGGGACAGTGCTGAGCTGGGCTGGCCTGGCCAAACTGCAGCTGAGCAGGTGGGGGAGGAGCTGTGTGGCTGCCACCCCTCTGCCACTCCCTGCACCTTGGCCTCAAAACTTAGGCACTCTCAGCTGGGAGATGCCTGGGGTTTGTGTTCCCTTTTGCAGGCCCTCTGCAAACTCAGGGCATGCAGAAGCACAGGTCATGGCTGCAAAAGAATTACAGAGCAGAGAGAAGCTGTTCCACRTAATCTGGTAACATTCAGTCCCAGGCTTTGAACCTGAAATTACCTGAGTACTGTCTGGAACTTGGCTTACCTATGTTCCAAAGAGGTACAGAGCCATAAAATTCATACCCTAAAATGAGAATATACTTTGATTCATCATTTCCCTTTCACACAACAGGGGCTGTGCATTGCTCTGTGCTCACCAGAGCATCTGCAGAGGCTGCAGCCAGGATTTGCTGATCAGCCTCCAGTGCAAGTCTCACACTGCAGAACTCCATTCTTTCCTTCACCTTTGCTAACTGGAGCTGGTAGTTTAACCCAGCTGTGCTTCTAAAGGATGAAATAAAGAAGGAGGCCAAGGATAGCAGAGTAACTCAAGATTATCTTCACAGTCAAATGTTTCCCTTCCAGGYGCCCTCAGAAGGTCCCACAGCCTTGCTGAGGACACGCACAGACTGTTCCCATASTGGTTCAGTGCTGCCAGGATGCCTGAGGGATACTGCTGGCCCCTGACATATGGCAGAGATGAGAGCCAGATGTGCTCATGGGGAGAAGGTATGGAAAGTGGTGTTGTGGTGGTGTGAGGAGCCCCCGCACAACTGTCCTGTGGTGGACAGGCAGCCAGATGTGCTCATGGGGAGAAGGTATGGAAATCTGGAGGCAAGTTTGCACATTTCAGCCAATGTAAACACACCCTAGTGCATGCTATARCGTGTAAATACTATTTGGCAAATGATTACTGGGTTTTACTCTCCCGCAGATAATGAAAGTTTAATCCAATCCAATGTTTCCAGGCAGGTCTGGAACAGGTCAGTGAGATGCCTTAAGCTGCTTACTGGAGATGTCCACCACAGTCAAAGTAAGAGAGAGAAGAAATCCTCATCAGAAAATAACTTCTTGTCCCTAAATGAATGCTCCTGGAGGACACCTTCTCTCAGGAATTAGCAGCAATGCTCAGCCTGAGGCCAAACAAAAAATTTTCTCCCTGGTCATGATCAGAAAATACCAATTATCGAGTGCTGACGGGAACATTTGCATTRTGTGMACACTGACTGTGCCAATGCAGGACYGAGCACCTCTTATGCAAGTTGTTGACGTCTAAATTAAAGAGTTTCTATGACCTGGTGCTCTTGAACAGTTGTGTGGRTATATGGATGGGGAAAACCACAAGGATGGGACTAATGCCTCTGGCCAGAGTACTTGACACCACCATTACATCAAAACACATGGTGATTCTTGGGGGCCTTCTCCAAGGAGATGCTGAGCCTTTTGATTAGAAAATCAAAACATTTTCTAAGTACATGGGCTTTGGGAGGGGTGGTGCTACCCACCCTTGCTGCACTGCTGTGACTGTGACTGGAATACTGGGCTGAGCATGGAGGCTGGGCAGGGAGGGGTGTTCTGTTTGAATCAAAAACAAGAATGAAAATGCTTTGGTGTTCACAACAAGAAAAAGCAAAACTTCGAGATATTCACATGCGCATAATTAAAAAAGACGGTATTAATTCTTTTGCATCACTCAGCACTCCACCTATCCCTCCTTTTCCCACACCTGTCACTAAGAGGGACCTCTGCAGATCCTGCACTGCCACAGCATGGATGTGTGGGACAGTGTCAAGGCAGACCCAGACACCTTCTGGAACAGAGGAGCTGCTGCAGGTCAGCACAGCCTGAAGCCCCAGCCCTTCTGCAGCCAGGCAGTCATGGCAACATCAGCTCACACCAAGGTGGGGCCCCCTTTGTAAGAAAAAAATGGAAACTTTGTACAGCAGAGCTGAGAAAAGATGGGAAACCAGTTTGTTTCTCAGAGCCAGCCTCTGATCAAGCACATGCAATTCAGCCTTTAATGTCCCAGACAGCTTCCCAACCTTCAAGGGATGTCAGAGTCACACTACTAAACCCTCACCTCACCGACACACTGTGAGACTTGGGCTGCAGCCGGTGGAGGAATGAGTCAGGAGCTYATGCCTGAGGACAGCAAATCCTGCAAATGTATTGCAATGGCAGAACTCTGAGCAGAGCTGCTCCCTGCCTTGCCTCTCTCAGGGGTCTACACATGCCCGAGACCATCAAGAGCACCAGGGAAACAACTGGGTGCTCAGGGAGCTATGCTGGAGCCTGAGCAACCTCCTCTGCCACACASTCCCCTGAGCCACCCTGCCTTATTTCCTCCCAGTGCCAGCAGGACAAAACATCATGCTTCAGAAAAATACAACCTGATACACTTCTGTTGGATGCTATGATTGGCTAAAGCAATGAAGACCTCCCAGCAATATTTTCCTTCAAGTGTCAGTCCTAAAAAGTCTCCACACCCAACTCTGCATGGTACATCTCAAAAAGTAAAATCCCTGCTCAGTGTCATATGCTACCCCACAGCAGGATCTGACACCAACAAGCTTTTCATGAGAGAGGAGGATTGATTAATCTCTGACCAGTAACATTCCCTGCCTGTGCTCTGGGAATGGTAACAGACAGCTTGGAGTTTAAAACACATTCAGAAGCAGCAGTATATTTGCATGATAAATATGATTTATAAGTGGCGTTGTCAKTGAGTCTTAATACTTATGTCACCCACTGCAAGTGCCACCATCTCTGTGCTCCAGCAAAATGAAATATTTCCATTAAAACCTCCTCATGTGAGAAGATGATACACGTCATCTGAAGCACAGCATTGCAGAAGCTCCAAACTGAATTCAAAGCCTAGAAAGAAACAGAAGGCTGCACAAACCTGTGCAAGGGTGCACTTGGGGCGCAGTTTCAAAAATCAGCAACCTCGAAGTGCTGGAAGGTCAGTGGCAAGGCAGCACTCCCCCCACTTTTGGTGAAGTGTAACTGAAATAGGAAAGCAGGATATTTCCGTGCATGGACCCTGACAGCACTTCTGGCCAGCAGAAATCTCCAGTGGGGACATGAAAAGACCATATAGTTCCAGTGACAGGGTTCAAGCAGCCTCTTTTGCTTTTAACAGGGAAAGACCCACCAACATGAACATCTACTTAAAAATAAACCACTGATTTCAGCTCCTCACAGGTCAACAAATGTGAATTCCCCAACAAATASCAGAGCCTGGCACTAGCCATGGGGTGCCACTGTCTGCCAAGCCCCGGGCAGGCACATCCACCAGGAAATCTTGCACTGCCCACAGCCCCGTGCAGAGATGCTGCGGAAAACCACCAGGAACCAGCTCAGAGGGAATGCTGGTGCACAGTCCAGGCCACCCCAAAGCCCCAGCTGCAGGAAGCCTGGAGGAACTCTTGCCTCTCCTGGGGGAATGCAGGCAGCATTGGCACTGTGCTCTGTGCATGAAGGACCTGGAAGCCCCCCTGGAAACTCCAAACCAGGGTCTCAGTGGGCACTGTGCAAATGGACCAGCCTTACTCACAGGCTGAGGCAAATTGGGGCAGCAACTAAAACATATGGAAAGAAAAAGGAGTGAAYTTCCTACAGTCTCTGTGCTTGAGGCACCAATCCTGAGAGGAACAGAATTTTCTGAAGCAGGGACAGAAATCCAATGCTGCTCCCAGCAATCAGAGGAGCCCCAGCTTTGCTCCAGGTCAACTCCACTGCTGCTCTTCACTAAACATGTGCAGAGAAAAACCAAGAGTGGAACTATTCTTTGCCCTTACGTGAATTAAAAATATATGGTGAATAAATGTGTGTATACAGTTYTCACTACATAGATACACAGTGTGTGCCCACAGTATACACACACRTCTATGTATGTGAACCTGTATTGCTTGAGTGCCCACACCATGTACAGGACACAGCCCTACAGACACAAACATGAGCATTTATAGGTGTAAAATAGAAACACCCTAAGGATTTCTATGGGAACACTATACATTAGGATGAACCTATGTACACACTTGCTCAGTAGAAAGAAATTTGCATTCAAATTCTAATTGGGCTGAAGGAAAAAGATAAGACCCTACTTACTAACACACACAACTTGGAAAAGTTGATACTTCTAAGAAAACAAAGGTCTTGGAGAAAGATGGAGGGTCCATGAGGGCGATGCTCTCCTCCCCTGCCTACCCCTTTCTGCAGGGCTGGAAACACTTTTGCATTTTGCTGTTTGGTGAATTTTTGTGCAACGAGAGGAGACRGCACAGGGAGCAGCCTGCAGCATTGAGGCAATCCCTCATTAGCAGAAGCCATGGCCAGGTGGAACTGCCCAGAGAGCTGAGCAGGGATGCTGAGGACAGAACTGACAACTGACAGCTGATCCAGGCACCCAGCYCAAGGGCATCCCACTGAAACATGTTCCTCCTTYATCCACACAGTATTGAACAGCATAATGTCAGGGATGCTCAGAGGTATTATCATAATGCATTTTTAAAAAGGAAAAGACTCTTCAATTTTTTTCCCACCCCAAAGTCTGGGTGCTGAGAGAGTGGGAGCTGTGGAGCAGCTTTAAGAGCTCCCTACTTCAGGTTGACTGTGGTGGTATTATTGTTACTATGAAAATTTTTAACAAGGCCCCTACAGACCCCTTCCTGCAGTGTAGGTCTCACAAGCAGCAGTGCTGTGCAAGCWGGCATTGATCTTGGCTACAGGCTAGGTGCAAACACAAGGTTCCACCAATTCTGGAGTTTGGATTATCTCTGTTCCCACCAGCGAAAATATGAAGGGAACACTAAAGGTGTCTGAAACAGTATCCTTGGATGTGAGGATAAAATGACAAAAGGATATAAAAAGGTGAAGCCAAGGATGGTGGCAGCGTCAGTGTCCCTCAATGGCATTTTACACCCTGTGARTTTTTCTGGCAAACTTTCCCCATGATGGGACATCAACTGGCTTTGGGAAGGTTTGAAACACCACAAAGACTTCTACAGATTTCACAAATATAAGGCTGACTCCCTTGGGAAAATAAATTTAAACTAAAAAAAAAAAAAAAATCAGCCTCTAAAATAGCCTGAGTGCAATGTTAGAAAATTAAAACCATTTTTTTTTTCGCTTTCACTTAAGGCTTAGTAAAGTTGTTGCTTGTTTCAAGTAACTCCTTCCCATCCATGTCACAGTCCTTTTGGAAGCAGCACTGGCCATGCAGAGCAACACACAGTACTCTCTGATGCCAAAACTGGYGTTTCCCAAAGGCTGACAAAACCCCACAGCAAAAAGAAGACACTGTCCTGGTGACTCTGTCATGGTGGCACTGYCCATGCACACAGGGAAAACTCAGGCTCACCTCAACTGGCCAGAAAAGCTGGTGCTGACAACTCAGTAGCTGTGCAGCAACTCAACCCCCCACCTCCCATGCTGCCAATGCCATCCCAAGGATAATCCTCTGACAATAAATGGGGTGAAAAGCCACCATCAGCCTTGCTGTGCACCCCAGCCCAGCTCAATGCCCACAACTCTGGGCAGCCACAGCAAACATCCCCACACTGCACAGTGCAGCCTCTGCCTGTGTCCTTGTGGCAGGAAGCCAAAACATCTTTCCAAACCCAGAGATGCACAGTGCCACACCTGGAATAAACCTTTAGTGCAGAAATCTGGTGTGAATATAACATATCATGGGATAGTTCTGAAAACCAGTGTAAAGGAACAGCAAAACATCCTGTTTGGTAAAGCAAKGAACGTGTGCCTCAGTGCTCCTCAGCAGGGATGTTTGAGCTCCAAAGGGCCAACCAAGGAGAGTAATCCATGCTTTTTCCCATGGATGCTCTGACTCCTTGTCTGAATGCCACACAACATCCCACTGGTGAAAAATCACATTTGAAACTCAATGTTTGAATCCAGCAGCATCAGAAAGCAGAACTGCTCGGCCCTCCAGCATTGTGAATGCAGAACTAATCAGCAAGCTGTGTCTGTGTGTGTGGTTTGCATTCCCTACACACCAGTATGAACCATGCCCATGGCATGATCTCAGGTGCTCACAGACTGCCTCCAGATTAATGCAAAACTCTGGCTCACAGCTGTACACAACAGCCTCAGCAAAATCCTGCTAGAAGCTGTCTCTTGAAGCACAGCTGGAAAGCCCTCAGGAATATGGCAAGATTTGCAATTTCTTTATGTCAAGACTGAAGTGGAAGAAAAACCACAAGATATACTGGGGCTGCTAATCACAAAAGCAAGGTTCTCTGCAGACAACTTCTCCTTTCACCCCACCCCTTGCTGCATGGTCACACGTGGGGCAGACTGCTGGCACCCATGTCTTGGGTAACACTTCTCTCCTGGCACTGGTCCCTGCTGTCCTCCACAGTGCTGGCAGCAGCCCCGGGCACAATGGGGACACAGGTGCCACTGTGGGCCAGGATGCCTGGCTCCTGCTGGCCCTCAGCTGTGGTACAAGCCAGAAGCAAACACACTCCTGCTGACCCACAGGAAAAGCCCCATCATCTTCCRTGATAGGACCAGATATCAGCAGGTTTTAGACATTTTCAGCACCATTCTACTTTCCCCTATCAGCAGCAATTTCCAACTACGTATTGAAGGAGCTGATAAAAACCAGGAGACCCCCACAAGACTCAGGCACCCTCCTGGCCCTGAGAGGGACAACCTGCTGTGGCTCTTGRCCAAGGTGGCCTGGGATGTGCAAGAGCATCTACCCAGGGACCCTGGGCAATCCTTTATTTCCCCATGTGTGCACAGTGGATGGGAAAAAGCCCAAGGGGACAGGAGAAAAGAGGCCTTCCTCCTCTTGCTGGCCCTGGAGCACAAAGGCTGGGGGAAGGCTCTGATGTGGGGTAAGGGGACAACAGTTGTCCTGGAGCAGGAGAATACTGGAAGCAGTGAGAGAGTGACTGGAAAAAAATGACCAGAACCAGCCAAGTTTCAATGCAGACACAAGTCTGGGCGACACCACCTGCCAGGAGCTGGCTAGAGCTGAGCTCCCCCTGCCCAGGCTTTCTCAGAGCAGCCAGGCTTTGACTGCAGGGAGAAAGAAAAAGRGGAGATGTCAAACAACTGGATATTTTCCCCTTTTCCAACAGCAAAGTGTTCTGTCAGGGTAACAGAACTCTTTGTGTCCTATCTCAACAAAGGCAACGATGGACAGTCCTCAGGAAGTCTGCTGTGAGGAGACAGGCCAGCACTGTGCAACGTCTTCTGTTTAATTCCGTATTTCCTTTTGTTTCTGGTTTTCAGGGCTCTCTGAGCCAGTGGCCTGTCCATCTGCTCTTGGCCCATYCCACTGCTCTCCACGGCGTGCCCACGGCCATCCATGCTGCCAAAAGGTGTCCTCAGGCAGCTCCTTCCACACTGAGAACACAGCCAGGGTACACTTCACCTTAGAGCTGAACATCAGGAAACCATATAAACTCCCTTTCCTCCTGCCCCTTATTCATAAATTTAATAAAATAACAATAACAATAACAATAATAATAATAATAATAATTAAAACAAAGGCTTATTGGAGCCATTTCTGCTCAATTTTCCACAGTCTCTTTTCATGTCACTCGCCGTAATCAGATTTTTCAAGAAATACTGTGAGAAAAAAAGAATAATAACAATAATTATAATAATTATTATAATAATAAAAAGCATCTGGAACCAGCTCAGAAGATTTCTAATGCTTTTCAGCTTGACTGACTTGGAGTGCGTTGACCACACCATTTATATTTTCTTCAGGTACCTGCAAGAAAACAAAAAGAAATGTCATGCTCCAACAAAAGGGGTGACAAGGAAAAGAGAGGCAAGAGACAAAGCCAGACAGTCCCAAAGAGGCAGATACTTTGCTAGTTTTTGCTGACACCTGCACGCCACTGAGAAAGGGCTCTGTGTACAAGGAACACCCCTGTCAACCCATGGTACCCCAAGAGCAAACACTGTGAGATCCACATGGTTTTCTGTTTTATGGTGGTGCTGGTGGGGAGGGAAACTAATTTGGAAAGTCAGACAAAACATGGCTTGGAGTGCACCTTCCAAAGGATGGAAGGGTTTGACAATTAGAACAGTCCTGTCCAAGTGAAAAGGCTTTTAAACCCATACACAAAGAAAACAAGTAGCAAGGGAAAACACTGCTTTGAATAAGGAAGACCTATAGACCTGCACAGTCCCCATAATACCCTGCCAGCTGCTTGAAGGAGGGATCTGCAGGGCTGAGATGAGGCACTCTGACAAAGTGGAACTGCCTGCAGAGGCATCACAATTGTTTGSCATACATTTTCAGCTAAATATCTATTTTAACTGATAGAGCTGAGCTCTCCAAATATGGCTTGACATGTAGGAGCACTTTGAACCTTGTGCTCTGCACAGAAAGTGGACACCTGAGGCCGCACAATGAGCAGGAATGTGAGGCAAAGCTAACAGTATTGATTTTTAAATGGTGTTTTATTAGCTTATCTTATCAGCACAGTTTATATTCAAGAAAATGAGACAAACATATATAACACTCTGACCTTTGCTATCTGAAAAAATATTTACTTTTACTCTTTACACATATGACCTATCAGCTGCAAATGGTTCACACCAACTGTGAAAAACCAAAGTAATTAAAAAAAAAAAACCCAAATCTGCTTTGATCTCACTGGAGCTTTTACAGGTCAAAGGTAGGACCTGAACAGTGAATTTGCAAGTGATGGAAATAAAAGTATAATGCAATAAAGGACACATTTAAGAAAAAAAGAAACAAATAAACAATAGCATAAAGCAAGTGACTCCCTTCCTGAGGACCAGGGAAATGGGTTCCACGACAAATGCCATCCTGTTTGTGGCTAAAAGCAGAGCAATTTTCCCTTTCTAGGGGAATTCCTAATTTTTGAGTGTTCTCTTCCCAAAGGAAGAGCAGAGGTAGGCCTAGAAAGTAAAATACCCTGTTTAAGAAAGAACTCTCCAAGGATGGCAAGACTCTCATGTTAATGACTGCACTGCAGCTGCTTATGGGCACTCATGAGAATGAACATGACAACAACCTTATCTGCTTCAAAATCCCCTTGCCCTGCTTGTTTATCAAAAAACAAGAAGATGCAGGGACAGGGAGCCAATAGATGGGACCCAGAAAGTAAAGGTTAGGACAATGCAGGCACCAAGAGATGAAGGCAGAGGTCTGCTACTGGGAGACTCTCCAAAAAGCTCCCCACACACAAAGGCACCTGTGAAGCACCTTAGGGAAGCACCTTCCCCTTAAGGGTGGGTTGTTATAACTCTGTCCTGAGAGTCTGAAGCCTGCAACTGTTTTTTGGAAGCAAATGGAGAGCATTTGTGGCTGTTTTTAATAAAAGACACAGATGCAGTGGAAGARGCTGCTCAGGGAAGCTGTGAAGTCTCCATCACTGCAGATCTTTAAGAACAGAGATCAGCCTTTTTTGAGAACACCACTCATAACACAGCTTTGCCTTTGGGTATGGCTGGGTGTGGTTCAGCAGCCTCTGACCCAGTGCAGTGGCAGTTGGGAGACAGGAGTTTGCTGGGCTACACTGGAGCAAAAGCACTGCAACAAGGTATCCAGATGAGAAGTGACATTCTCATCTTGAGTTTTCTCCCAGGSAAAAGATCTCCCCAGGATCTTTGTATCCAAAGAAGCTGTATTCATACTCACCAATGCGTGATCAAACTTAAAAGTACTGATGTAGTATGCTGGGATGTCAGCTGCAGCCAAAGGCTCAGAAATCTGAGCGACAATTCCACATTCATCTGTGGGGACATAAAAATTCAAACATCATCTGGAGGGGCTTGCAAAAGTCCCAGGGCTCACCAGATCTATGCCTACACAAGGAGAAGTTTGTCTTCACAAACTCCAATCAGAAGGAATCCCTGTAATAAAATGTATTCTTTCTCACAGAATAAAGCTTTTGGGCCACAACATTGCACATTTAGTTTTATTACCTTCTTTTTGCTCCAGAGAAACACACATTCTCTGAAGGTACAAAACCATTAGGACTAGAATGAGTTAGTTACAGAGGTCCAAAGAAAGGCACTGAATGATGTTCAAGAAGAAAGMATTTTTCTCTGTTATTGAACACTTGGCCCTGCATCTCTGAAAGATGAAAAGCTGATCCATTAGTCCACCTGGAGACATGGTTTCCTGGCTGCAGGCCACCACAGCCCCTGAAATAGGATTTCACACCAATTTCACCACAGATACATCACAGAATGTTTAGGGGTTGAAGTGGACCTTAAAGATCCTCTAATGCCAACTCCCCATGCCATGTGCAGGGACATCTCTCACTAGAGCAGGCTGCTCAATGCCTCATCCAGCCTGGCTTTGAACACTGCCAGGGYTGGGGCATCCACAGCCTCTCCAAACAACCTGTGCCAGTATCTCACCACMCTCACAGGGAACAATTTCTTCCTAATATCTGGCCTAAATTTCCCCTTTTTTGAGTTGCATCCATTTCCTTTGTCCTGTCACTCCAGTTCCCAATGCAAAGTCCCTCTCTGCCTTCCCTGGAGCCCCTTCAGACCCTGGCAGGTGCTGTGAGGTCTCCACACAACCTTCTCCAGGCTGAACAGCCCCAACTCTCAGCCTGTCTCCATAGGGGAGGTGCTCCAGTCCTCTTAAAAATTTCATGGCCTCCTCTGGACCTGCAACACTTCCATGCCCTTCTTATGTTGGGGACACCAGAGCTGTGCACAGAACTCCAGCTGGGCTGTCACAAGAGCAGAGTAGAGGGCAGAATCACCTCCTTTGACCTGCTGACAATGCTCCTCTGGATGCAGCCTGGGATTCAACCGGTCCCCTGTGCTATTTTGGTACTTTTTTTAGTTTTGTAGTACTTTTTGTGTACAAGTTGCAATTAAAATCGGCCCAGTGTTTTTCAGAAATGTTCTTGAAGCCTGTGTTTTGTAACTGTTTCAGAGCCTACAGGAAGGAGCCATCACATTTCCTGAAGATCAGGCCTTTTTTGCAGTATTCAGATCAGATCCTTAAAACTGCAGGGGACACAGAAATAACAAGAACACTCCTGCAGACATGAACCACTTGCTTTGTGATACTTAGGACCAATATTCTTTTGAGTAGAGAAAACTGGATGTTCAGCACTGGATGTGAAACATGTCTGTGAGGAAGACTTCCACTTGGACTGCTATAGATCTACAAAAAGTCTACYTTTATAGAAAGAATCACAAAATTACCCAAGCACTGTCCTGGAGAATGACAGTGCTTTCTGACCACCAACTACAATGCATTTCCATGCCACCTTTTTGACCAGTTTTTCTCTTTAATCAGTGCCCCAGCTGTAGCCACCTTCAATGTCCAGCAGACAAATGCAATGTCGCTTGGAACTGTCAAGCATGTAGCACTTTCAAGTGTATATTCAGAAGCCAAACATAACACGAGTCAGATTTCTGCTCGAAAATCTCAACTTACAGTCATGTTAAGCTGCTCTTAAAAAGCCTCAGCCCCAGATGGATTTTTCCATACCTCTTGAAGGCCCTGAGGTGACTGACTGCCTGCACACCAACTGATCCCCCAAATGTTACTTACCAAAGCCAAGAGGCTGCCCACCAATCCGCACCATCTTCCAGAGTTCACCAGATGCACTTGTAAACAACAAATTATTAGGAAATCTGTAAAAAACAAAAGGAACACCAAACATAGCAATTAAAACACAGCAGTGTGTCAGATTTTGCCTGTGGGGGATCTGCTCTTGAGATGATTGAAGCCAACAATAATGGGGCAGTAGCTTGGGCAAACTGGGAAAACTCAAGGCAGGTGGGGCAGATGCACCTGTCTGACCCTCCAGGTCAGGCAGCATCTGCTGCTGGAGGTGAGCATAGGTATCCAGAGAGACATGGGAAAAAATTTCTAAGCAACAGGMTGTGCCCCAGCTTTACAAATGTTGAGACTATGAAGGTTTGATTTGAGCTGCATTTGGAAACACATAGGGATGGAGAATATTTCCGTATCAGCTCTCAGGAATGTGAATKTTAACCACTGGTTTTGTGTCTGAGCACCATCAATGCTTTTTTCCTTACCATCCCTGGGAGATCCCTGGGACCAAGCAGAGATCTCCATTTCTTAGCAGGGGAAAGGAGACCAGAGGCTAAGAGACTYGCCCAAGGTCAAGGTGGCAGGCTGKGAGAGASATGAACTGGTCCCCMAGGTTTCCCACRCCCCAGGTWGAAGCTCCAGTCCTCTSGCTCYTYTTGAAGGCAGACAAAAGTTTACTCCAATAGGGTCAAAGAAACTTTCAAGAGGGTAATTATTAATTTGAAAAACAAGCCCCTGGGGCAGAGGACTTGTCCCCTAGAATCAAACCCAAACTGCAATGTATGTCAAGAGCAAATCCAAACACTGATGAGTACAGCATCCCCTCCAGCCTCCAGACSTCAGAGCCTCTGTGCTGCACAGCTGCAGAAGCAGACACACACAYAGAGGCTGGTGTTTGCTCACCATCTGACTCCCTCCTTGCTAGACAAACAAGTCATGGGCTCCYRCTGCACAGGGATGACTTRGGCCATTATCACCATAACAAGACTMTRAACCAAGCCCAGCCATGTGTAAAGGCAAAGCAGGAGGACCGCATTACTGACACCCCCACCCTGATTTTAGCCTTTAGCAGGAAAACTTCAAACACCTACACCAGCTTTTTCTTTTGGGTTTTGTTCTTAAACACATGGCTAATGAACAATAGAATAAAAATGCCAAAATCACTTTGCTCCAGTGCTCCTCTTTTGAAAGTGAGATAACCCTACATGACACTGATTTGTGATTTCACTGAGGGCTTGGACAGACAAGTCTAAAATTCAGACACTGGAACTAACACRCCACATTTTACTCAGAGAAGTGACAGGGTGTACAGGTCCCTGACACCCAAACAAAGATGATCTAAATAATTAGCATGGAGGAGTCTAAACTGCYTCCTGCTCCTTTGAGGACATCTCTTTTCTTATGGTCCAGGTTAGCCTAAGACCAAAGCTCACCTCTGCTGTGTCTGGACATCCATGACCAGGGAGATGTAACCCTCAATGAGAGAAAAGGAGAAAAAGCGAATATGTCCCGAGTCTTCATTGCCCACCACCGAGTCTTTTACTCTGAAGAAACAGAGAGAATGACATTAACTGTGGTTAGAAATCACAAAAGAAAGGTTTTAAAACCAGATATAGCCAGTGAAACCAGAAATSTTCATGCACTCACTTAGGGAAGTGACACTGAGTCCTATCATATTATATTGATTTTATTATTTTTTATTTTGCATGTGGAAAACCATCCAGTCCCCAAAATTGACAAAACCCTCCATCCCTGCCTCAAGGTCCCCTCGCAAGAGGCTGTGGGCCAGGAGCTACAGACACCAAGGGGAAGCAGTCCAGCCAGACACCCATGCTCCAGCCCTGTGCAGATAAGCAGCACACTGACCACATGACCTCTTAGCTTCACTCTGAAAACGCTCAGCTTTCCAAAGGCAGCACATGTCTTTGGGCACCCTCAATCACCTGTTTGGCTTCCACCTGTCAGGACAACCCTCTTGAGCCTGTGAAACCTCCCTYCCTCAGTGCAGAGCAAAGGCCACAGCAGATCCCTGGGCATCCCAGAGGAGCAGTGGGAATCTGTGCCTCCTCCAAACACTGGGCACACCTCTCCTGGAAGCCCATCTCCCTGCAGGACCTACCCATTGGAGTAAAACATGACATCCATTAGGAGTGTAGCAACAGTGGGAAGGGTATCTGGATCCAGGCTGGTGACGCAGAACATATTACTTGGACTGGAAAGGGGATGAATGACAGGCCTCTGAACTGAAAGAGACACACAGACACACACAGCTATGAAGCCACATCTGTAGCAGGCTCCTGTTCCATCAGTCGTGTTACTCATGCACTGGCAGTGGCCACAGAGAAAGCTGACAGTATTTGTAAGGTGTTGCTTCCTGGCTGAAGCCCTTTTGGCTTGGACAATCTGCTCCTGTGCTGTCTCCCTGAAAGAGAGGGTGGTATTACCCTCAGTACCCTGTCCAGCTCTCTGCTCCCAGGGGCTTTCAGGCCATTGGGTGCGTCCACATGAGATAAGGGGCAAGCTCAAAGAGGTGCCAAGTGAAATTGAAAAGTGGAAAAAAATGCAGGCTTCCACCATTTAAAAGGCAGGGCTATGGAAGGCATTTTTCCAGCTGTGGTTGTTAGCGGTCCATTCTCTTTTCCCTCATTTTTGGGGACTRATTTCATTATAATATCTAGAAAAATCAAAAACCAGCTGCCACACAGCCATTTATTTAACAAGTTGCAGCCAGTGCCTGAGAAACAGCCAGCATTTAGTCATGTAACCAGTAAACAGAGCAACACAGCATCTGCATACCTGTGCATAATTAACACGTGTTTCACTGCGCCCTTTCTTGATGTTTTTTTTTTCTTTAAGACTCATTTTCTTAYACAAGATGATTGTTAGCTCTTGAATGATGAAACTGACAGGCACTTCATAATAACTGATGCCTGCTTTGTCTGGTTTTGGACAAAAAATTACACACATGTCTGTAGGTAAACATATATATGTTGTTCTTTTCCTGATCGTGCCCTTTGGCTTGATGCGCTTGTTCCCCTGGACTGCAAACATTCTAAAGTTCTGTACAGACCTGGGCTCACTTGGTCTTGATCCTCACTGGCACTGAAGTGTGAAAGCTGAAAAACAATCTTCTCACTGCATCACTGCATAACTTAAGCTTTTAGAGAAGCCATTTTCCTTTGGAATGTTCAARTGTGGAAATATGGGTTACAGACAACATTATTTTTGCAACTGCAATGAACTATACTTCAATCTTCTGTTCTACGAAAGGCATGTCTCCTCTAGAGAAACTAGAAATAAAAGGCCAAAATTCAGCCAAACTTAAGAGCACTGCTCAGGAAGTTAAGAACCTACTCAAATCCTTGGTTGTACTGGGACAGGCTTGTAAAATTATCATCTTACAACAGGATAAWTATTTACCCAAATACTGAAGGAAGCAAGGAGGCAGGCCTTCCACCCCAARTGTCAGGGAGACCAAATCCCTGGCAAGCTGAGCCTGTGCTGGTCCTTACCTAGTTTTGGTTTGACAAATCCATTTGTTATCCCAAAGTCATCAGCAGCCACTGTCTCCCCATTCACTACTCTGAGGATGGTGAACTCGGCAGCCAGCGTGTGCATCACGAAGGGTAGGTCTCGCTCACGCACCTGGAGGTGACAACAGGATTATCTGWTTATGGTGTGCACCAGAAATGACAAAACACTGCAGTGGAGGGTACATACTTTTGGTGCATAGCAAAGTGGACACATGACTCCTGCTCGAGCCAGTGGATAGTTACCATTTGGGTGTATCTTAAGCACACTTGGTGATACCATGGCGAGTATCAGYAGGATTAAGCACCAGAGTGCTTTCACAAGTGCAGAAAGAGTGTGGAGATTTCTAAGCAGGAAATATTTCACCTCTTATCCAGCACCCGTTCAACAACTCAGCACTGCCTGTTTTTCAGTCTTGTTTCCTCAGGAARTAAGGTTATGCCTTGTCTGTGCACACACACACATGTGTGCGAGACAGAAAAACTGTCTGTCTATACCCAAAACAACTTTGGAGCCTCTTGGCCATAAGCAGCCAACCTGACAGTAGACAGTATGTTCCTCTAACTTTCAGARAATCAATGTCTGAGTGACGGTGGGAAGTGCAACCAGCATCTCATTGCTGGAGAGACTGTAGTGTGGACTCAACACTCTCATTAGACACCAGACAACCCATGACAACRAATGCTTCACCCCATGGCAAAAGCTCAGGAGATGTCAGAGGGTCTAACTAAAACGGACAGAGCTCTGGGGAAAGCAGACTTTGTTTTTTCTGCCACTCCCCAGACAACTTGCTCCCAGAATTGCCCACCTGAATTTTCATCTGGTGGCAATAACTCTGCCTGGTCCCTTCATGTCCTCTTACCAGGATGAAGTCCGTCTGATAGGTGGAAAGCATAAATACTGAGATGTTTTGGTCAGCTAGAGGTGCTATGACTGACTTGGCGATTTTGGTCACTCCGATGGGCTGGGAGCTGGAGAAGCCACCTCCACCAGACACCACGTTGAGGGCAAGCCATGTTGCATCAGCCACACTCAAGTGTTCCGAGGAAGGAAGCTCTGCAGAGACAGAAGGRGAGGACAGAGGTTTGTTGTAGAGGCAGAGAGAAACAGGTCCACCACCTGTCAGGATGTGCTTAGCACAGACCTCAGTACAGGGAGTGAGATGAGCCCCCTTATCCAGCCAACCTCCTGGACTTCTCATGCTGCTCCACAGGCTCATACTGTGACACTTTCACATGCACTGATTGCATCAGTTTTCATGGCAAGATTCATACAGATTGTCAGGGACAAGACAGGCAATAGGAGACCCAGCAATTCACTCGCCAGTGTTGATCTTCCAACRGAGTGGAAACAGCCTGTGGTTGTCCTGGTTCCAAAAGAGACTGCCAATGTGGCTGTAAACAWACTGTGTATTCTACTCCCCTCTACTCCATTCCTGGAAAATCATTWGTAGGAGCTGCCCAGTGCACACCTGATGCCTCAGGCTATGAGCTGGGTGTTAAATSAGATAAGGAAGAAAAGGCAAACCCTTCGAGGCAGGGYAGTGTTTCTTCTTCTTCACACCAGCATTGATAACTGCCCTCTGGGGAGGCACCAGCACAGTCCCACCCATCCTGAAGGGTGTCATCTCTGCTAATRAGCCATAATGGGCACATTATTCTGGCACCACCAGAAAAAGAACTGTAACTTCGACCATCAAGAACACGCAAAAATATCCTAGGAGTCAAATCATTCCATTGTGAAACTCCCAACCCTGGGGGTGGTATGGAGCATTCCTGCCTGAACCCGAGCATACATCATCTCAAGGTTTGGGGACTTGAGTCGCCATCACCACCATCACTGGATGGATCCAGAGGAGGACCAGAACTTCCACAGGACCACTCCTTTCAACTGCAACCATCACTTCAACAGAACTGCAACCACCACATGATACAACTGCGATCAGCACCCTGACCAACAGGGTGCCAGGTTGTACTCTGGATTTAAGCCCGTCTTCGTGTACAGTTGCATTTATTGTAATCTTTGTATTAAATTGTAAGTCCGACCTGAAATCTCTCTCGAGGTAATTGTGTGGGGATTCATTTCTCCCGCTGGTTTACTTTCAAACCAGCAGAGTGRTCTCTGACTTAAATCTCTATCATACAATTTCTCCAAACATTTTACTCAAGCTGCTCTGGCCTCCGTTGTTTCCGTTTTCCCACTCTAATCTAAACCCAAATTTTGTASTCCTGGAGTTGAGATGGAGGTTGACAGAGCAACCTGGGCCCTGTCCCTAGTCTTTGAAGATGCAGAGCAGGCACTCTRTGCATCTGCGGGCTCCTGCCTCCATCTCAAATGCATAAGAGCCACACAGTCAGCAAGGGATGGATGGTGTATCACAYATACTAGGGATTACAAGGTAAGCACATACTAAAATAACACAAATTACTTTGGAAATTGAAAATACTAAGAAAAATCCCATTCAATTTGCTTCTAATCTGTTGTGGTTAAGCAGTTAAAAATCTGCAGCTAAACCATTTAATACAAATTATTAGCTGTTTTAAAAAAAAACCCTTAATGTATTAACAGCCCAGAAAAACAGATGTAGACTTTGGAACAAAGGCATACACTGCYACAGCATTCTCTGGAGTTTGGATTTTTGTTTGGTAAATTATAGAAACTAACAGTTCAGATCCAGATCTGGACTAACAAATGCATAATTCCAGTTAAATCTACTTGGCATAAGGAACCTGATCGCAGATGCAGATCCAGCCAGCAAGGACACAGCAGGCATCCCAAAGGAGGCCTACACACTTAGCACAGAAGYGAGGTGCAGCCCAGGAGTCCGAAAGCATAAACCCCAGCATTGTTGCTCTTGCAGTCAGTGCTCTGGCAAGTGCTCCCATGTTTCTATGCCCACCCATTCCTGGCTCCTCCATACAGTATCCTTTCTTTCTGCTCCAGTGAGACCTTTGCGAGTTGTTTCTATRCAGCCCCAGATACTGTGTAATAAAGTCCTAACTTTACCCTCTCCAAATCCTCAGGCACCACTTCCCTGAGACACTACCAGCACTGAAACCCCAAAATGAACAGAATAACAAACACTATTCATTTTGCTCTCCTCAATAACCTCAATTGTGAGTGGCARGAAAACAACCCTGAGCAAACACACTGCAAACAGTGGGGACACTGAACATTCTGCTTCTGCATTTTGATGTTTAGCTTCATAAGCMAATGTTTCTTTTTTAATAATCAGATCTTACATGAAATGAAAACTAGACACCAGGGAGAGGGGTAAGTTTGTGCATTAATCAACAGAATGTTACGTCAGAGACCAGTTCAAGTTGCTTGAAGCACATTATTTCAGCAAAATACCATTTTCTCATCAGCCTTTTGCATCAGAAAAGCACCTCCAAAACCAGGCTTCCTGCATCACCTGGCATGGAGAAGCTAGAGCTCAAAACAATTGCTGCTGAGCTATATATGTTTCAGGGTCGTGTTCTCACTAACTGATCCTACCTGCAGTGGGCACATCYCAGGTGTGTCCAAGTCCACTAATGCCTCACTATTGGCAGTGAGATCATAACTCATTTCCTTCTCTATAAGATGAGCAGATTATATTCCTGCTTAGTACAGGTGATGTACATAGCAGTTCATAAAATACCAATTCAAATACAATTTTGGGCCAGGGATATGGTGGAAGAAGCAGTATTTCATGGTGGACAGAGGCATTATTGCATTTCACTCCAGCAGCAGCTGTGCTGGATGAGCTGCCCCAAGAAGACCTCATCAAGCTCTTCCTCGGGGGGAATGAAGGCAGATTTGCTCACTGCACTTGTAATTACTTGGAAGTGTTAAATCATTTTTGAGTTTATGTGTTTAACAGACCCTATGAAGTGTGATAGGGGCCACTGCATTTGCTTAAGTAACCTGCTTCTTATGATTCAATTAACTTGGAAAAATATATAGGAAGTGATTGAAATACCAATTTTGGACACTGTTTCYACTAGGCAGCCAGATGGAAAACTACAGCCCAAATTTTAATGAAACAAACCCAGGCTGAAGGCTCAACAAATTTGTCTAAATAGTGTTAAATACGCCATGTGGGATGGTGCTTTGCCCAGGAAGCTGTTGAATGCTGTAAACCCACAGAGAGCCAAAACCACCAGTTGTAACATTAGCGCAGACTCAGCGAGGCACAATAAGGTAATAAACAAAGAACAAAATAAGGAATTGCCCACATTTTAATACCAACTCCTCGCCACCACTTTCTCCAGGCTCCCATGCATTGCCACATTCCTTGTCCTCCCATTGGGCCGAAGTGTCTCTGCTGGGCTCTCAAAATCCTCTTGCAAATGGCTTATCAGAGCACAGTCACTCCCATTGCTGATTATGGGTGACATCTCAACTCTGGCTGAGAAAGACCTTGTCTTAGGTTGATTTTGTAACAACATTGTATTCCTATATTTTGTTTGATTTTAGGCCCCAAAATGTGCCTGTGGCTTTAAGGCAGACCCAGAAGAAGGGGCAGGGGCGGCTGGGAAGGCAGGGTGGGGAGTTCAAAGCTGGGCAGCAGCAGGTTGGGAGAGTTCAGCAGGGCGCTTTGAGAGCTCAGCTCACCGTGTGCAGGGGAGTTACGTCGTTGGCGTTTAGCTAGCTTGGGTTTGTTAGCTTGGCCAAACAGCTCTCCCTGGACTACAATGGCCACCCTTCAACGGTTTCTGTGATTTTATTCTGGTGTGGTTCGGCGGGACTTTGATCTGAGAACCAAAGGCAAGCACCGATCAGCCATGGACCGGCAGGAAGAACCGCGGAGCTGCTCTGTCTCTGCCCCGGAGTTGCCGAACCAGCGAGAGAAAGCACGTTGAGTGCCCTGCTTCATCTRCAGTGAAGAGAGGACTACCACCACAGGTTTTACCAGATTCCCACTGTTTGCCTGAGCGGCCATGTGGACTTTTTCTTCTGGGACAAGAGCTGCGCCATCTTTCTCCGCACCACGTGCCGAGCAGCTGTGGAGGGAGGAGTGGCGTGCATTCCTGGAGTTTTAAATATCCCMCAGTTAATAAATTTTTATCTGTGTCCYRYGGGCACCTTGTTTTATTAAATAAACTATTTTTTTCTTCACTTTCACCCAAACATCTCTTTTGTATGGGTAGGGAAAAATTACCAAACTTTTTAATTCAGAGGAAAYGTTCATTCCATAACGTTTCTCTSTGAAAGAAATTGTCTCAAACMGAGRCATACCTCTACAAGGTCMGAGATTTGGGCTTTGTTTATTATAATTGGTGTTTTGATTTTGACCTTTCACTGGGAGGAAGCCTTAAGATTTGTCTGGTTTTGCTGTGTAAGGCTTTGMAGCCTTACTAGCAGAAGGCACCAGGAGCAATTCAGCTGCCTGCAGGCTCCAWTATCATCATTTATTGCCCAACATGACAACTACCACAGTCTGGAAAAGCAAGCTTCCAGACTCAAGCTGTCATTCCGTCCATGGTCTTTGGCATGGAACACCACCAGCCTCAAAAAGATGTGATCATCGTGATAGTCCAAGATGATTTTCCCTGGCAATGCAATGCTGGGTACTGAGTGCTGGTGAGCTCCAAAAACCAGTGAGGCTGCTCTCCGTTGGCACAGGTATCAAACTAATGCCAGTCCCTGCGCAAACCAAACCCAGCCAACACATCAAGTTWCATTTAGGGCGTAACTGCTTACTCACAGCACAGGTGATTTGCAAGGTATGGGGTCTGTCCAGAGTCTCACTGGCCCATTTGGTAGTCCCAGTTGAAGCAGCCTCTGTGGCACATGTCATCCTGGGATGTGAAGCGGTGAGTATCATATTGGCCATAATTGGCTCCTGAGCTCTAAAAATTAATACCCCTTCCAACAAAGACAACAAATATTGGCTGAAACCCAAATAAGGACTGAACTGCTGCCACTGGAGCACTATGCAATGCTGTAAGTATTGTGAGCTGCTGCTCCATGTGACACTCCTACAATACCTTTGGAAGGATGCTGGGATGATGATGAGATTCCAGGTCATGGGTCTTTGCAAGCAGCCAAGGAAGTCGCGTGAAGCAGGA